GCATTCCTAAGCATACGCTTATATTTGCAGCAAGGGTGTGGTCCGCGCCATAAAGCCCATACAACACATAGTCGAAAAGTTGCGTTCAAATTATGCGCGCCTGGCGAAGCCAGGCCAGCTCGGCGAAGCCGAGCTAAAGAGAAGGAGGAGAGCTCGGCGTCAGCCGAGCGATCCGACTGGTAATAAGTCTAGTCTAAAGGCAACACGTCTGGCGCCAACGGTGCTCCCCTTCGCTATTTTTTCTGTTTTTAGCAAGCAGTACTTCTCGTGACGGTGAAAAACAAAAATAAATCAAGAAGTAGGCCTATGAACCGCACCAAAAGTTAGCGCGGTCAAAATGATTCAACTGGTATGGTCGAATGACCGGATAGCTTTATCAAGATAAAGGAATCATTCGCCGCAACATCAGACCGTTTAGCAGCCGAATAAGTTCACGTGCTGATAATATCGGAAACAAATGAAGGGTTCTCATTCAATCGGATGGGGATCAGATACGCAGGCTATAATGAGCTTGGTCATATAGCGGAATCTTCTCGCTTACTTACAGTTTGCTTGTACTATTATCACATCCTATTACATATGCCTTCATAATACCGACACGATCAAGGGGTAAAACTACAATGAGGTATTATGGGTTGGTATCGAAAATTTCTTCACATCATACCCGGGAATAGGGCAGCCCGTTAGATTAGCCTCTGAAACGTCCTACTGCTTTACGCATTCTCTTTTGATTGAAGTGTCCTGCTGTGGAAGCACCCCCGCATTAGCACTGATAAGCTTTGAATGGTCTTCACTAAAGTTATCGGTAAGGTATGGTAAAAGTGATTACGTCATTTATGCTGTTCACATGGTATCTCGGTAAAAAAATAAAAGACATGCATTTGGAGTAGAGCTGGCCTAGCGGTCGTACATTGTGTCTACTGATAAGCGTTTAGGAATGAGCTGTATTCGAATCTCTGAAATCGTGACTTCTTGGGGCATATCGATCGCATTGTTGTGTGCGGTGCACGGATTTTTCCATGTTGACCGAAACTGTCACCCACCAATGACGTTCCCATCCCATAACCTATATCACCTCTCGGATCCAAGGTCCCACTGTTGCTGTAACCTGCGTTATGAATTTGATGACCCTCTCCTTCCGGCGCCCCTTATTGGACCTTATCAACTGTTATCACTTTCTGTCGCTTTTCAATGATGTGCCTATCCCCCTGTCCTGTCCAGTCTGGCCCAGCTGTCGCCGGGCGCTGCTCCTTCTGTGACATAGCCCGGCTTCGCCGGGTGGGCGCGGATTTGCTGCGTGCTAAGTTACGGATCGTTGACCAACCACACTGTTCAAAGGAATGTTCTGCATCAGCCAAGAACTGAAAAGCAGCGCCCGTTTTGTCAAGACGCAGAAGCAGCAGCAGCGTCCGCCGCATAAGGAGGAGCGCCGGCGTTAGCGAGCGATCCGACTGGTACGTTCATAACCTACATAGACGGGAATAGAGCAGCCTGTTAGATCAGCCGCTGAAGCATCGTACTGATTCATGCAGTTCCCCCCTCCTCCACCCCCCCCCCTCTTCTCTTAACGCGTCTTGCGTCAATGCACTCTCGCATTCAGCAGTACAATGTTTCGAATGGCCCTCACTGAGGTTGTTGATGGAAGAGTTCTGATAAGAGTGATTAAGTCAAGTTGCTGCTGCTCATAACATCTCTGTAAACAAACCCCATGCATTCGGAATAGAGCTAGCTTAGCGGTCGTACATGATTCCGCTACTGATGAGCGGTGAGGAATGAGTTGTGTTGGAATCATTGAGATCGTTATACTTGAGTCATATCGATCGCATTGCTGCTGTGAGCGGTGTAGCGGATTTTCCCATGTTAACTTGTCACTTTCAGCTCCTATAACATCCGTCACCCGCCAATAATATTCCCGTCCCATATCACTATCATATCATCCTAAATCACTTCTCGAAATCACGCTCCCACCGTTGCTGTAACCTGCGTTACGAATTTGGTGATCATCCTCTTCCGAGACCCCTTATCGGATCTTATCAACTGTTATCACTTTCTGTCACCCGCCAATAATGTTCCCGTCCCACACACCTATATCACCTCTCGGATCCAAGGTCCCACTGTTGCTGTAACCTGCGTTACGAATTTGATGACCCTCCCCTTCCGAGGCCCCTTATCGGATCTTATCAACTGTTATCACTTTCTGTCACCCGCCAATAATGTTCCCGTCCCATCCCCTATATCACTTCTTGGAACCAACATGCCACGCTTACTGCGACGCGTGCTATGAATTTCGTGACAGACAGACGGACGCACACACACACACACACACACACACACACACACACACACACACACACACACACACACACACACACACACACACACACACACACACACACACACACACACACACACACACACACACACACACACACACACACACACACACACACACACACACACACACACACACACACACACACACACACACACACACACACACACACACACACACACACACACACACACACACACACACACACACACACACACACACACACACACACACACACACACACACACACACACACACACACACACACACACACACACACACACACACACACACACACACACACACACACACACACACACACACACACACACACACACACACACCACAGACATACTTAGCGAATTATATATAGTAGGATCATTGCGGACCGGTGGGGCGTGGCAGTGCGGCTGCGTTTGGTGCGGTTTGGCAAAGTCGTTCTGCACCAGTTTTTGAAGCGGGCAAGTGCATTACTGTATTATATCCTTCGTATTACTCGTTTTCTACCACTTTTTGTCGCATACGCGTCAACAAAAAGGCTGAGAACGGCTTCAACAGTGTGCGCACTCCTTCTGGCTGACACGCCCCACCGGTCCGCAATGATGGGACTGTATATTGCCTACACCAACATCATCTAGTTACTACACATACATAACAAGAGATCCAAAAGAGGGAACAATCAATTAACAACTATCAAATACCTATCTACTTTTGTTTTTCTTGTTTGGCTATTGAATGCGATCAGACCCATATAAAGCCTAGCGGGGTCATCCGATGTAGAAGTCCAAGGTTTTTAACACCTTAGTGAGACTCGTATCGAAATACCTAGTAGTTGCCGAGAGCTGGGGGGTGTCGATCAGAGATTTATCTGTGGTTGTGAGCTCTACTAAGCAGCACCTCTCATATTTCTCAAAGGTTTCGACTCTAACAGAATTTTATGCACATGGCTGCAAAAATGTTGATTAGGGATAACGGTACTTGATGAAAAAAAGTGATCAATTCCTGTAGTTCGAGGCAGGCGGAATGGCCACTTGAAAAGCTGAACAATGTGGCGAATGCAACCGTGAGGTAGTAAAATTAAGCTAAGTAACTCTAATTCATGGAGAACCTAACCAACTATAAATAAAGGGTAAAGGATAAAGTCTTCGCCGTTGATCAATCCCTTTGTGGGATGCGGCACGCATTCTACTTCCATTCAGAATCGTAGTGGCTTATTGAATGCGATGTGGCCTATACAATGACTTGCGGGGCCAGCCGATGTACAAGTCAGTGTTCTTGTTCTTCCAGACGGATTTAGTACCAATTCTTCTTCTCATAGGAAAGAAGGCGTGGTTGACCTGAGCGGGAGCCGATCCGAAACTCCTCAGATCGCGCGCGTGGTAAGGTGCCACTCGCCACTACACCATCTCCGGCTCAACCAGCCATAATGTCGAATCTCAAGTACTCGTTCATGCATTCGAGACAGTTTTTTTGAAAAGCACAAGAATATTAGCAACAGAAAGGTAAACATCAAGTAGTACCCGGAGGTCACTGGTTCAGCTGGGAGAAAAACCCGCGAAAAGCCACAACGGGAAAAAGTGTTCACAACGCGGCAAATTTTCTCTCAAAGGCACATATGACCCGTCCCCCCTCCTCTCCCAAGAACGACCAAGTACGACCCCTGCCCCTCCCTAGCGGCCAAGTGCGACCCTCCCCGCCCTACCCTGTTTATGAATAGGATAGGTGAACCAACTCGATAATAGTTTCGCTTGTGCATCGCCAAGTCTTGAAGGAGTGATATGGATGTTTTACTGGCGAGCAGTGGACCATGGCGACTATCATATTCCACTTCGTACCCTTCAAGAGGGCCATGATAATGTAGGGAGCATTCTCCGTCGTATAATTCTCGGGGGGAACGTCACGCTCTCTACTACCGTCCTGAATCGCAGTGGCATGTTGAGCGCAGTTTGCTGGTCGAATAGTTCGTGGGGACAACGAACGTGATATCAACTAGTCGTCCTCATAAGGGTGGGTTTCACGCTTGCCTGTACCATCTAAGATGCTGGGTCTGACCTTGGAAGCCTGTTAGGAAGACGTAGGAAGAAGACTGGTTGTCTTCCTTCCTACGTCGATCACAGGTGTTAAACAAAGCAATCGGAGATGGGCTCATTCCACCCCCTCCTGACACCATCCAGCTTGATTGCGACGTTATCACCCACAATATATAGCAGGGTGACGAGCTTCAGAAAAAAAATCGGAGTTGAATACCTTCAGACTGGAAAAATGTTCAGCAACACTATATAACGGTAGCAACAGCACTGTGGAGTGGCAACACTCTGAACATAACGCTTCGGGTCCATAGACGGTTATTCGCTAGCAGAAAGGCGTTCAGATCCACAATTACAGCCACTCATATCCAATTTCTAGATTAAGTTTCCAGTTTAATTCGATGAGGTTTTCTCCACTGATAGTTGTTATCTAGATATTCCACGTAACACGCGTTTACTAACCGAGAACATGGCTGACCCTGCTGCGAAATCGGAGTTAGTGAGCTTCATTCTTCAGCAGATATTTTGAGTTATGGTCCATTTTGAGAGTTCTGTGTTGTGGAAAGCATTTTTATAAGCTTCTTCTGCTATCCCTTCGGCTAGAGATTCGATATTTTTCTATATTCTAATCGCTTAGTGTAATGGCGTCACGAATGATCAGTCGTCTCTCTCCAAAAAATTCCGCTTTATTCGTATGTGATCTTCAAGAGCGCTTCAGGTTCGTCTTGAAACTATTTTTTCTTGTTCAGAAAAATCGTCAGTTTAATTTTGGACTCTGTATAATAGCTTGTTTACAGAAATGTCATACAGTTCTTCCCGGGCATTGCGGAAACTTCGAAGAGGATGGTGGATGCAGCGAAAATCTTACAGATGCCTATCGTCGTTACTGAGCAGTACCCGAAAGGGCTCGGTCATACGATTAAAGACTTGGGACTCGATGACATCAAAAAGTTTGAGAAAACCAGGGTGCGTGAATCTTATTTTTACACGAAGGTCAACAGCCATATTTTTCAAGCTATCTTATCTATGCAGTACTCTGAAGTTTCAGTTGTATAGCTGTGAAAAGAATGTTTTGGTCCTGATCCATTATATGTGCCCAGCTTAGTACGTTGAAGGCAAAGTATAACCTAGTTCGCTGTGAACGAAGGGGCGTGTCAGGCGGGATGAGTTTCGTTCTACACCAGTTGCTGAAGCGAGCAAGTAACAAAAATTTATCTATCGTTCGTGTAACTCGTTTTCTACCAGCTGTTGTCGCTTACCCGCTTAAAGGCAGTTGGCACGATGGTTTCCCACTCGGCCTAAAATGCTAGTAGGGCGCTGTATAGTGGGGAAATGGCGAAAGAACGGAGTGAAACGGTCAAAATCCGGCGAAAAACTCCGTTCTCAGTGACTTGAAAATCGATTTCGGACGAGTTTCCCGTACGCATCTTGCCAATCACCGCAGCTACCGAAGATACGGCTGCATATGTGTACCCATATATGCATGCAGCATCACGGCCGCTTCATACCAATCCCTTCGCTTCATAATTTGCTTAGCAAATGAATGAATACGAGCGTCAGGAACGGTCGTCCGTTTGTGGGCGGGCGGGCGAGGAAGGCGTTTGGGAATGTTGTTGCTCGATAGGGCGTTATAGGGGTACCCTCCTTGGAAAAGGCGCCACGGAGCGCCTGTCCGAGGTCACGGAATTCTGTTAAGCCAGTCGTATGAATCCTACATCTGTATAGCGATTTATCGTGCCAACTGCCTTTAAATAACCGGCAGAGAAGCGCTTGGTGACGTGGCACACTCATATTGCCTGACACGCCCTTCCTCCGCAGCGAATTAGCGCATATGCGCTCTCCCCTTGGATCTTGAACCTTGCCGGTGTGGAGGAGAATGGGTCCGCAGCTGCAGTAGCACGCCGCATTATCCGGTCAAAAAGGATTACGTGACATCTTGAACTTTTGTGCATTGTCCTGTTGCGAAATCAAGAAACGCAGACAGATAGAGGACAGCGCCTGCCAAAGCATCGAGACGTGCAAGAAACTATGGCGAGCCAGGAAACGAGCTTTTTCGAGGGGGGGGGGGAACTCCGCTCATCATACGTGAAAATCTGGAATGTGCGAAGTCACAATGACCATGGAGTGCCACGCGGACGAGAGAGAGAGCAGAGAAAAACACAAATTCGACGCGTTAAAGGAATTGAGTTCAAGTTGTCCGTAGACCAGTCAAAAAAATACGGCAGCTCGCTAGAATGTAGTAATACCCGCATTTCGTTTCCATGCTCCGCCGGGCTGGAGCACGGCCAGTCACTCCCCTAACCATAGTCAAACCGCGCTACTTGTCGGCGCATCCATACTTGGTTGTTCCCTATCGCTCGAAGGTTGGTATCGACGCAAGTGCTGCACCTTGAGGATAGCGTAGGCGGAGCACGGGAACGGCACTCGAGTCCTCTCCCCCTCAACTCGTTCAGCTTTTTTGAACAGTGCGTGGTCCGTTACTGCGCTGCGGACCCATTTGCCTCACACGCGACGAGCACAGTCCTCGGCACCTCACCACCAGAATCCTCTAGCATAAAAAAACAGAGAAATGTTGCTGTTGGATGCGATTTTCCTGGGATTGTCGGGTCAGACCTTATTTATCGTGTGTAGTATGCTGTGGACCATTAAGACTAGTTGCTTACTATTCTGGCTCATCCTTTTTACTAGTAGTGAGCTTCTGTGTCTTGCAGGTGAATTTTGATAAATTGCCCATACGCTCAATCTGCGAGCATGTCTTGGACAGTTGCAGCTTCATCTCATCAACAGCGGACTATTTTACTTCAACTCCACCGTAACCGAATGCCAGGGAGTATGTGGATACGTTAGGCTAACCATCACCTGTATCACCTGTGCTCCCGCTGATCATCGAGTTCCTCGAGCGGGCGCCAGTAACGTCTCCATTCGTCCCTGGCGAGATGCTGATCCCTCTGAGGATTGCCAGGGTAGTCATTGTAAAGCGCACCCCCCCCCCCTCACCCCAGCTACTTATTTCACTGGAGTGACCCTCTAGGGTACATGAAAGCATCATTCTAGTTTATCAATTTAGGGCTAAATCTGGATTTTGTTGTGATTATTTAAGCCGTAAGCATGAGCCGACATATGTATAAGATGTGTGTCAAGAGTAAATAGAGTGAAAAGTTTCTGTTAGGTTGATGTTTACAATGGCTGGCAACCATTAATCAAATAAATACCTTTGCTTTCAGTTTTCAATGTGTGTGCCGGAAGCCGATGGGGCTTTGCAAAACGCCGAAAACATAATTTTGGTTGGAATCGAAGCTCATGTGTGTGTGCTTCAAACTACGCTTGATCTTCTTGAAAAGGGAAAGAACGTACACGTGGTCGTCGACGCTGTCAGCTCTCGGTCACTTCCCGACAGGTTATTTTTTTTGATTGTTGGAAGTGAAATAGCGATATGAGGTTCTCAAGTCCAAGAGCTTTGGGTGGGGGCTCTTCCATGATCACAAGAATGATGAGTTGTGGGCAAAACTCCTACCCCAGGCGGGAGTCGAACCCGCACCTCACGCTTTCCGGGCGAGTGCGCTATCCGTTACGCCACCAGGGCCGCTTTTACCCTCTGATCAACGGCTTTTATGCCGTAGCCTATCAGCACTCACACGTTTAACATGGTGAGAGGGGTCAGCCGTAATCGTTAGATATTGGCAGTGAACCGCTAGGCCGAAGGCTTCAGTTTTTGAAGTATTAGGTTGGTGCATATGTTCTTAGCCCCGACTTTTTCGTAAATATCTCAATAGCGAACCAACCTGAAGATTAGAGGTATCACCATCCACTACTCGACGCCAGCGCTCAGGCAGCTTGTCGATTCCTTCCTTCCAGAACGACGGGGCTGGGACTTGAAGAAGTCGTCGAGTGCCTTTCTGACCTGATCCTTTGTTTCGAACTTTTTTCCGTCCAGAGAGCGCTGCAGGTGGCTGAACAGCCAGTAGTCAGAAGGAGCGAGGTCAGGGCTGTAGGGGCTGGGCGACCATCAGCCATCCGTACTTCTCCAGCTCGGCCTGGGTCGCCTTTGCGGTGTGAGGTCGGGCGTTGTCATGGTGGAAGTAGATTTCCGCATTCCTTCCACGAGTACGGTCGACGTGATCTTTCAATTTCCGCAGCTGGGTCACGTGGAAGCGTCAATCGTCTGTCCCTTCTCCAGCAGCTCCCAGTACTCCATGCCTCTTCTGGACCACCAACAGGACAGGAGAACCTTTTTGGGGTGAAGGTCGGCCTTTGGGGTGGCTTCTGGCTGTTCTCCTTTGTCGACCCACTGCCGCTTCCTCACAGGGTTATCGAGGACCCACTTCTCATCTCCAGTGATCATCGAGTTGAGAAAGTGAAGCTTCTTTTGTGAATCGTGAAGCAAAACCAGGCAGTGGCGCAGGTACATTTTGTCACAGTGGAAATTGTGCGACATTGTGGCCTGCAAATGCAAGGTGGTGAGTGATAGCTAGTGTGATAAAAGAGTATAGTGCCCACGTCACGCACACGTGATGACGATATACCAACATCCATGCAAACGAAATACGGAAGGAAAGACACGTGGCTAAGAACTTATGCACCAACCTAATAGTTTTGTTATGGTTGCCCATAACTCAGCATTCTTGTGATAACATTCGGAACGCGAACTGCGGCGTAAAACAGCAGTTATCATAACAAAACAGCTTCAAAAACTATCACAAGAATGCTGAGTTGTGGGCAAAAGTCGGACCACGGGCGGGACTCGAACCCGCATCTTCTGCTTACCGGGCAGTTGCGTTACCACTTACGCTACCGGGGCCACTTTTGACCTCTCAGCTCAATGGCTATTTGTGCCATTGCCTTCGAGCACTCACACGTTCAACGTGATGAGCCGGTTAGCCGATATCGGCAGTGAACCGCAAGGCTGAAGGCTTTTTACAAGTTTTAGACTGTTTTTTGGATTTGTGCCATTGAGCTGAGAGGTCAAAGTGTGGCCCCGGTAGCGTAAGTGGTAACGCAACTGCCCGGTAAGCAGAAGATGCGGGTTCGAGTCCCGCCCGTGGTCCGACTTTTGCCCACAACTCAGCATTCTTGTGATAACTTTCGTATCGCGCACTGCGGCGTAAAACAGCAGTTATCAAACAAAAACTCTAAAACTTCAAAAACTCTTCCGCGATCTGCTCACCTCGCTCTCGTAAAACCACTATCCACAATAATAGTCTCTCAGATGATTTGAACAGGAACACTCGTCGATTATGAAGGTACTAGTCGGATCGCCAGGCTTACGCCGAGCCCTCCCCTTCTCTTTAGCCGGGCTTCGCCGTGCTGGCCAGGCTTCGCCAGGGTTACTTCATAATGGGAACAGAATTCATCCAGTTCATTAACTGAGTGCATTTCGAGTCCACGCTCATATTCGAACGAGGGGTGGCGGTGAGGGCCATAAGGCCCACACTAAGTTAGTGGTACATTTTTTCAGACTTTTTCAGACTCACTCTTATCGTCAAAAGTTTAGAGGTGAAAAGAAACTGCCACTGAACACATTGAGTGTGTCATAGTATCTAGGCTTTTGATTCTTGACTTCCCCTAAGTTTCCTGTTTCAGGCGATTACATATCCCCTTCCTTCGCCCGGCATCATTAAATGCGTACAATGCCTGACGCCCGCACCGTGAAAGCTGTACTACTGAGATTGAAGAACAACGGCAATGTTCCTTATCAGCCCCTATCGGCTGTTATCAAACTCTGTCATCCGCCGTCGACTTTCCCTCCCCCTCTATATCACGTGCTGGAATCAATGCCTGGCTGATGCTGTGTCTCGCGTCATGAATATGGTGACCTTCCCATTCGCTACTCTTATCCAATCTTGTCAGCTGCTAGCAGCTCCCGTCACCTATCAATAACATTCCTGTCCCATTCCCTACCTCATAACTTGGAACTGACGACCCCGCTATTGTTGCGACCCGCGTTATGGACTCGGCGACCCTCACTTTCTGACGCCTCTTATCAGACCTTATCAGCTGATATCACTTCCTGTCACCCACCGGTAATTTTCCTGTCCCAAACCCTATATCTTGAAACCAAGGTCTCATTGCTGCTGGGAGTTTAGTGCTATGAATTTTGCTGCTCTGAGTTCCGTGACACACACACACACGCACACACACACACACACATACAGTCGCACACCACAACACACACACACACACGGACACACATAGCAGATTACATATAGTAGGACTGATGGGTCAACAGAATATGGCCTATCCTAGGATGAGGGGCCAAAAGTGCCTACTGAAGTCACTTCTTAAAGGCAAAACCCGCGATCATTCGCAATCACAGATAGTGGATGAGGAGTTCGCATACAGACGACAAGTTGCTGAGTAACTCGATAGTGGAGGAAAAAGCGAAAAAAAAACATGCCACCGGGTCTAGATAGAACCCCATTTCGCTCCCAGTTTTCGTACTATGCTCCAATGAACTCCGCATCCAACATTACGCGTCATCCGCACAGCTGATTCCGCGATGAGAATATGTCTGCCAGCTTTCGTTTTCGCTGAAAACCGGGCTGAAGTTTGGAGCGAGTCACTGGGAAAAGGAGCGGTCACTGACTTATATTGCGCTATAGCTCCCCTCCCTTACAATTTTTTGCCGCGGAACCGGTACAAGGTTGCTCGCCGCGGGCCGCACTCCCTCATATTTTCAACTTCTATACCTGATCGCGGACGGAGCCTTTAAGAGTGCATGCCACAGTTTGCCATGACCTCTTTCACACATACACTCAAAATGTCAAAAATCCCTCAATTGATATGCGTGGCTCTGTTACTTGAATTGAATCTGGGCGGCTAAGCTTTTCGTGAGTGTTTTCATTTTGGGGCAATTAAAATCATGTCTTTTTCCAAACAGAACAAGATGACAGTTGTCTCAAAATGAAATATCCCATTAGTGACCGATCCTATATTTTATGCCATGTTCAAATGCCGCACCTGCTCTATCTCAGGGATAAGGAATGTACAGTAGTGCAAAAAAAACTTGGAACGAGGACCAGACCCGCGGGGTCCATAGTTTTGAAGGTCTATCAGACTTTCTGAATTGCTTATAAACTTGTTTCTAAGATTGGGTGTTTTGAAAATCATTAAAAACAGCAGATTCATTGGGGTGCATGCAGTTTTTGCTCGAAACTTTTGTATTACTGCTTGTGAATAGATACTGATGTGCTGCAACGCGACCAATGCCGATTACACGTCTAAACTTTGAGTAGCTTTTGCACCCATCGTGGCAAAGAAAAGATGGACTCAAGAATGCATGACCGGATCCTGGGTCAGTAGAACCCGGGAAACGGATATGTGATGGGAAACCCGTCGGTTGTCCTTCCAGCTGGGCGACATGAGTTCATCGGGGGTCTTGAAGACACAATCTTCACCAGATTACCGCCAGCAGTCTGTCGTACTACACAGTGGCAATACAAAAGTCACGGGGGAAATAAATGCAGCAGGGCTGTTAACTCCAGACTTTCGTCTATTAATGACACATGGTACGCTCCAAACACATTTAGGGTGTATGAGACTATCAGCCCCTAGCTTCATGTCGTGGTGGCCCCCGCCCAAAAATGCACACGAGCGTCAGAGTACGGACCGTTCGAAAATCGTAATTACTTGCATACGCGCCAGTTTCGCAAACTCACGTTTTTACTAACACCGTCGCGCGGCGCGGTCGCGTGCAGCTCTCTTGGCTTTTTGCCAAGTCCTGTAATTGCGCTTTGGAATACAAGTACAACGCAATTTCTTTATGCGGATAACATTTTAGGTGCTGCAAAATAAGAACCGAAGATGATGACGAGGGCTAGAACTCAAGAGCAACTGTGGTGCTTCTGCAATATCCCTCAGAGGCCGCGCATTCCCACAGAACATGACAATAAAAACGGCCTAAGCGTCCCACTCGTTAGTTTGAAGTATTTCTATAGCTTTAGAGCCGGATTCGAGCCGGATCGAAATGCACACGCGATTTTAATTTATTGCGTTTCCTTAGTTTTTTCAATTTTGTTTTATTTACATCTACATTCGTTGTTCTTCATTTCTAGCCTTTGTCATCTTCATCACCTTCTATTCGGACTTTGAAGCATGAGCAATACCTCAAATGTTAGGAAATTGCGTTTTGCTTGTATTGTCATGTTTTATTGTCATGTTGTCCGTTTTTATTGTCATGTTCTGTGGGAATGCGCGGCCTCTGAGGGATATTGCAGAAGCACCACAGTTGCTCTTGAGTTCTAGCCCTCGTCATCATCTTCGGTTCTTATTTTGCAGCACCTAAAATGTTATCCACATCGAGAAATTGCGTTGTCTTGTATTCCAAAGCGCAATTACAGGACTTGGCAAAAAGCCAAGAGAGCTGCACGCGACCGCGCCGCGCGGACGGTGTTAGCATAAACGTGAGTTTGCGAAATGGGCGGTGTAGCAAGGAATTACGACTTTCCCACGGCCCCGTACTCTGACCCCGTGCAGTTTTGGGCGGGGGGACCACGACACATCGACAGCTGGGGGGCTGATAGTCTCATACACCCTCAATGTGTTTGAGCGTACCATGTGTCTTTAAGGTGTAGACAGCTAAAAACATAACAGACGAGAGTGACACTTTGCAGGTTGGAGGCTCACTGAGATTTGCAATGATCGTCTAGTTTGTGAACACTTTATTCCCCCTAACACAGTGCGCTACTGCAGTAGTATGGAAAAAATTCGTTCTTTAGCGATCACTTTCACACGAAACTTTTGCACCGTTCTCCCCGCTCTCGTAAACGCTGAATTAGCTTCTTAAGATATTATTCGCCTCGCCGGTGGAGCCAGCCTGGTGTCTCTGTTTGCTCATATAACCGCCGAAATGGCGCCAGAGGGGCGCCAGCTTGCGGTTTGTTACTCAGCCGAAGTTTTGACGAATACTCAGCGTCGAGTGTTAATTAGCTGTTTGCTCAAAAGTGGGCGCTCTATGATGTTTGCGTGACATCAGCTAACCAACATTGAGAAGAGTTCGTGGTAGTATGAGCGCTGATCTGGCGCCACACCCTAGAAGCTGCAGTCTTTGTGATGAAGTTATGAAAATTGGTACTGTAGAAACCGAGCACTTAATTACACTTAATTATTTGCCACTACAAAATTAAATCATTTATTCGTATTTATGGCTTATGTTTTCAGTGTAGGTAATAGCAATGAGGGTTGAGCATGTTTGGAGTGTTTAGGCGCTTTGTATTGAATTGTTTTGACAACAAGTTGCTCAGTGAGTGAGCAGGGAAATAACAGGTCTCGAGAAAGTTGATGGTGTCTTTTGTCAATGTTTGTCAACCGGCATTGCTAATGTTTGCGACGTTTTCCTCCGATATTCTAATCGAATGAACACCGATCTTCTCCTGCTAGACAATTAGCCGACCGTTGGACTTGACGTTGAATGCCTGTCAGAGATCAGCGGTTATTTCCGAACACCCTATGCAAACGTGGCCATTATATCGGGAAAGTGGTTTTGGAGGTGTTGTTTGAGCTTCTTTTCGACGCAATACAGGAGCCTTCTGGTTCTGCTAACTTCAAAGGTTATTATGTTCTACAGTTGGACGTCTCGCTAAGGTGCTGAGCTACAGCCAGAACGCTTTACCCCCGTCAGCACTTAGCTTTAGGTATACTGGATTAGTCCATTAGCCAGAAACTATGGAAATTTTATTAATCAGAATAAAAAAAGTTTGCAACTATTTTTTTTTGCAAAGACCAGAGACTACATTCCGATCTGAGCAACGGTTGGGTCGTTTGCATTTCCAAGGAAAAGCGTTTCATAGAGTACGAAAAATAGCTATTCGATTTCAATCTCCTTTAAAAATGCTCCCTATTCTTCTATTACAAAAGGAAAAACAAAAGTAGTTAAGTAGTTGTAGATGTACGTACTGGATGGGAGTGTCCATGATTATGCCAGTAAAATTTCCTGGCATATAATTCATTTAGTGGCAATTAATTAGAATGGTGCAGAGACCAATCGGTCACCTTATTGTCTCAAGAAGCGTCAGACTTTCAAGAACCAGAGGTTCGTCGAGAGTCATGCAAAATTTATTATTTCAACCTCATACTAAGCATAACCGCTTTCCACTGAGGCTTGACCACCCTTCTCTTCTTCTCCCTCTTTCGCGTTGGTCTCGCGGCGTGGCAGGGTCCGCTGTTCTTGTTAGATGTAAGCAACGTGTTCCGTCAGTAAGGTCCGATGACGTCCCTGATTTTGTCTTCGAGGCCCATCGTGGTCGCTTGTCCTGTAATTCGAAGTTCCAACGCTTTCCTTATCGGGTGGTCCTCAGTCCCTCTCAGCACATGCCCACACAACACCTTTGCTGTTCGGAATGAAATAGGGTTACTTCCCCGGCTAGACAACTTTTCACTATTTTCTACTAGTTGTGAAAGACATTATTTTTAAGAGTTTGTACCACTCTTGTTTGCCTAGATGACTAATTCTCTTCGTAGTAATTGCACTTAAGACTAGCCCTAGGACTCAACAACTGATTCTATTTAGACGCGGATTTCGTTTCTATCAATACTTGTACACTATTTTTCTAGGAAGTATGCCTTCAAACAAATGGACCGAGCTGGAGCTGTGTTGACCACCTCGGAATGTGTGTTGCTCGGATTGCTTCGAGATGCCTCTCATCCAAAATTCAAAGAAATACAGAAACTGATCCTTGACCCTGCTCCTGATGTCGGTCTTGTCGCGAAACTGTGAGCAGTCAGTAGGTTCTCGGTGTGTTCTAGACAGTGTTATCATTCATTGCTCTCTGTTGTAACTGCAGCAAACATAAGAGTATTGTTCATTTGGACTATTGAACAAGTAAACGATTTGTGACAAGAAGAACAAAGTCTCTGTCATCGATAACAGACACTATATGACATACCCAGAAACCGACAAAGCGAATTGCATTTGTATATAGCGCGATGACATTTCATATACAATTTCACCACGAATAGTAATACCATACATAGGAAAAGAAGTGATGTGTCAGAAATGTACACCCAAAAACCCGTAAGTACCTCAGATCACTCGGCGAGGAGCGAGGCACGGTGCCATTCGAGAAATCATTGGCTTAACTTCCATTATAAATGCGAAAATTACCGTTATAATGCTCCTACAGAGTACCTGAGAATAATTGACCGTTAGAGCTACGGAAATCTATGTGTGATGCCGTATAGTTAAGCGAGAATGTTGGATACTTCAGAACAACGTTAAACGCGATCACACATTATATGTACAAAAGAAGTAGACAGATGTCTAACGTTCTAGAAGATTAGATATGCCTGCCCAGGAACTCATAACGTTCTCAGAAAAACGCAAGTTGACGGTTTCTGAGGCGGTTATGCGGCTTGATGTTTCCGTAGTATCGTAGCAGGAAATTGCGGACCTGAAATGGTTGATGTGCTTCTTTTGGAACAAACATGAAGCGAAGATGCGTGGAATTTTTGCAGAAAGGACCCAAATGGCCCAAATGGAAATGTCCAGGTTGCATTCAAAAGTACGGTCCGCGATCAGGTATAGAAGTTGAAAATATGGCGTCGCAGGAGGGGGGGGGGGTAGTGTGGTCCGCGACGAACAACCTTGTACCGGTTTTGCGGCAAAAATTTGTAAGGGAGGGGCGCTATAGCGCAATATAGGTTCAGTGACGCCTCCTTTTTTCTAGTGACTCGCCCCCAGACTCCGCCCACAAGGCTCGCTTTCAGTGGAACGAAGATGCCGGACGAAAAAGCATGAAAAGCGTCACTTGGACGGGTTATGTTCTTATCGGGGATTAAGCTGTGCGGAAGAGGGCAGTGTTGGAGATGAAGTTCACTGGACACTTACAAACTGGGATCAAAATGGGGTTCTATCTAGGGCAGTTGGCATATTTTTCCTGTCTTTTTCTTCACTGTCGAGTTACTCAGAACCTTGTCGTCTATATGCAAACCAAATCCACTATCTGTGATGGCGAATGATCGCAGGCTTTGCTTTTAAGGTAAGATAATAGGTGGTTGATGCCTGGGACCCTCCTTTTGCCGACATGGCATTGATCAAATTCATTGGCATAAAGTCATTAAAAAAATCATCGGTCAGTGGATTTCACGAAGAAGCTGACTTACGGGGTCTGTTTGGAATTTACACCATGTTCTACGTCTAGTAAGTGATTTTGTTCGGTATGGGGGTGCACCAAATTGTGCTTAGCTAGGCGTATACAGGGCATGTGGTAAGACTTGTAAACTCCTGTGAGATGATTTACTCGAGCAATTCCGCAGCTTCGAGGAGTTTACACTTCCTACAGAAGTGTTACATAACATGTTAGTGTTACATGACATGAATTAAAAAAGGAACTAGCGAAAATGTAAAATGTCCCCTCAAGCCCAATCTGCGCAGTGATTTCCCTCTCGTAGTTTTTCAAGTTGATTCGGGCCGGTTGGTGTACTGGTAAGTTGCGCGCTTATCATGCGTGGAGGTCAAATCCCGAAACTGTTCCCGCCCAAGCAATTCATTACTCCAGAGCCGGTGAATTGGTAACATCATCTGGGTGGGTAAAATCACTGAGTTATACATTGGCTGGCTCCTTCAAGTCATTTCAAAAGCCGAACCGCATTTGAAAAGCAAATGCGAATCTGCGGACGTTGAATATAGATAGAAGGATTAATCGAAATGAGCCCTATGGCGTCGTCTGATGGAGGAAGATCCTGCGAATACGGTGATTGACAAACCGCCTCTTATGTAGCGCATCTCAAAGGGGGTGGGGTGAAAGGAAACCAGAGATATAATCCTTTTGTCCTCCCATTGTTCCCAAGTTGTAGACAAGCTTAGGGTTCGTCTTCGAGTATCACCAAGAAGCATGCGGAGTAGGGTGTCGCACTGCTTTTTATTGTGCAGACAGTACATGTGTAAAATGTTACCTGACGTCTGCTGAACTGTCCTCCAGCGTGGCAAGTTGGGCAGAGATACGGCGGTGGGAACTGGACTTTTGTGAATTGTGGGTCCTCTGAAGGATCACCGTGGAGACGGTTATTAACGATGTTGTGCGCTCTCCACAAATACGTCATCATATCCTGTGGATGTCGAACCTAAATGTACCATCATTTTGACCTTCGAATCCTTCCCTGAATTTGTAAGGGAATGCAAAACACTTACTCGTCGTTCAGTCATCGGTAATATATTAGTGGTCATGTTCATGAAATGGTTTTTGCAGTGTTGACAGCCGAAGAATCCGCGTACCCATCCCTATAAAAAAGCACAGTGAGCACGAAAAAAAACTCAGAACATTCCAGGGGCACATTCCGCGAATGTCCTCTTCAAGAACGTGGTTTCCATGTTCGGTAAAAAAGTCGATAACCGCAGATGCTGCGCTCTTTTCACGCCTCGGAAGTATGTACACACGCGTGCTACATGAGTTATCTGATCCCACAATGACCATGCAAGCTCAGGTTGGTGGCATGTGCTGCGGTCTATCTTGACGATCACCTTCCTCTTCCCTTACCTCTGGTCAGTTAGTGGTCACCTCTCACTTTTCCGTATGCCCGCCCAGTGACCGCCTTTCAAGGGCCAGGAGGAGGGCTTATGCTATACTGCAGGCCTTTTTCAACTTCTTTCTACCTCGCTTGAATATTTAAGTTCCACCTGCAAGTGTCTTCGAAACAGTAAAGAGAAGTAGACTAGCTACCCACTCTACATATAGCTGATAGGGCGCAATCAGTCGGAGGGGGTGGCAGGAGGGGTGGAGTGCCCGTCTGCGGTTGCTTTACTCTAGCAATCGTGTTGGTAGTTACTCTTCCAAAAAGAAAACACTACCAGATGGTGGTGGAAACTACAGAGTACCGCTTCTGGTTTTACTCTGTACCTCTAGGAACCTCGACTAATTGCGATGACAGTATAGCAAATGATCTCAAAGCATTAAGTTCTTCCACAACTCCATTCGGGGAGCAACATCCAAAAATGAAGTAGATGTTCACCTGAATACTTTTGAGAGGCTTCAACGCATTTACGTTGCTGTCCTTGATTGTGTCAATGTACGTGTGTGCACTGTAAGCGCGTGGAATGTTGTCCATAACCCGCAAGTGTAGCCCCTGAAACCTTTCTAATCAGAAATTCGCGGTCGATGCACAAAAAAATTAATTGATTGAATTAGGCCAGTTTGTTAAGAGACAGTTTCTGCAGCCAGATGGTGCGGAAAGTTTAAGGAACAATAATCTCTATATCAACAGCTCCTTCTAGACTGTAATAGAATAATAGAAAGTTAGGAGTACTACGGCTTAGGTTTAGGTCAAGATAACTGTTGTTTGAGAGAGGTCTTCTAAAGAGTAGGGACAGGAGAGCGGTGCTTGCTAAATACAATGGCATAAAAAACACTTGGAACAATCACGAATCTCGCTTTTCTTCACAGATTTTATAAAAATTCCAATTAATTCTCGAAGAGACCATGTCTCGCAGACGACTTTGGGAAATTTTTCAGGAAAAGTTCTTTCGATGGATAAAAAAAAATTGAGCCTAAGTTGCTTCTAACAGTGAATGCAATGGAGATATCGAAATTGTAAGTTCCGGCCTTAACACTGGGTTAATACTTCTGCGTTTGTAAAGCGGCTGGAAAAAAGTCGCGTCCGTACAGCGGATAAGAAGGGAGTGGACCAGGCTAAAGAGTACACCCGGAAAATTCTAATCTAATTGTCGTTCGATAAGTAAAGAGAGGGCCATTCCTGAACAGCCGTTCACGTCTTATCGTTTGCTGGAGATCATATTGGTGGATGGCCTACAAAACTGCGCAAAATTACATCCCTATAGATTATCAAAAAGTGATAACATTACTTTTGCTATAATGTTGTAATAATAAGCCTAAACATCCAAGATCCAAGGATGGCATTTATTGAGAACATGCTTCCGGCACTGCGAAGATCTTTGAACGGAATCCGTGAAGGTCATGCACTTGTATCACAGCCTGCACCACCCCCTAATCACTTTCCACACCTTTGAACCCCGTTTACAGTGTAATTGCACGAATGTTCGGGAACTAGCTAACGACTACGTCGGTGTCGTTCGGAGAACAGTGTGGATACTTTGATTGATCCTCTTACAGGGTACTGTCGTACGCAGCTGGTCGGGTCAGTGTCAGGAGAGGTGGAATGAGCGCGCGCCGATCTGCACATTCTACCAAACAGTGATCTGATAGTAGTCAAGTTAGGAAGCAAACAGTCAGTAAAGAAAATCGCTTTTTTCATTCCATGCCTCTTGACGCCGCCTTAACTGCTTGCGAAGATGTGAAAATGTAATTACCTGAACGTTGGCAATGTTCCCTTGCAATGTTGCCATGAAGCGTTGACGGGGAACGGATGCGCGTACACACGCTAAAATAGGCTCTGTTAGATACATTATACTTCACGGGTAATTTGAAGTGCTCAGAAAATCACTGCTATTTAGGGATCCCTTCTTAGGTGAAGCTCAACTAGGTAATGTTAGCGACTATACTCGGCTGGACTTCGTGAAAGACCTAGTATCAAACCAACGCTATGCTATGATACCATTAACTATCTATAACTAAAACAGCTTTATAACGTGTAAAAACCTTCAGCCTCGCGGTTTACTGCCGATATCGGCTAACCGGCCTCACTACGTTGACGTGAGTGCTGTATATGGCACAAAATGCCATTGGGCTGAGAAGGCAAAGGAGGCCCTGGTAGCGTAATGGATAACGCAACCGCACGGTAAGCAGGGAGATGCGTGGTTCGAAGTCTCGTCCCGGGCCGACTTTTGCCAATATCTCAGCATTCTTGTGATAACTTACGGAGCGCGCACTGCGGCGTTGAACAGCAGTTATCAAAACTAGAACAGCTATGCTATGAGTTCAAGCGACAAACCCTCACTAAGAGCCTCCTTCTTACAGCTGACCATAGTCACTGTACGAATATCAGACGGTCAAGACCAACTCCAGGACGCGAGAGGGGAGGGCCCATTGGAGTGTGCGCTAGATAGACCGGAAACTGATGGCGAGAGAGCACAACGCCATTATCACAACGTCAAGTGCAACTTGAAACGGTGTGAGCTCCATGTGGCCTTGGCGATAGGCTTAGAGTTCGCTTCCTACGCAGCTTCTAGTCGCAACAGGAGCACTGCTTTGGCGATTAAGAATCCAGGAAGCGTTCTTGAGGGCGATTTGAACGTCTTGCTGTTCGTCGAGTGTGTCTTTGGAATAACTGTTCCTATCTTGACATTTGACTTATAATTTTTACAGTACCCTTTGGGGAGAAGGACTGATGCCAGAGTCTTCTAGTGTTTAAGTACAATGGGTTGTATGTCGACTGAATCCTCAAAAATCGCTGTATAAGCCACTTCACATTCAGATACAGCATGATTGCGAATAAAGTGAAATGTGCGTTGCACCCAAGAAGGGAGTGGTCGGACCGCTATTTATCCGGACTCTAATCGCTGAGTTCCTACTCAAGGTTCTTGACAAAATCTTTTTTCCGGACGAGTTCCGCTTTCAAATGAAGAGCTTACTTCAACATTTTCAAACTGTCTTCTGTATTCTTCGACAGGTACTGCATTCCGAGGTTTGCGCGATTCCAGGTACTCTCTCATGTGTATGAAGACCAATCGAGCGCGTTCGCTGTTTTTCAAAATCTGCAAGTACACAATAAAAAGTTAAGATTTGTAATAAGTTTGCATTCAAATCAAAAAACAAGAAACATTAAGTGTGTACAGCAACATGTAGATAGTTTGTTCCCAGGTGCTGCAGGTGTTCCTCGTCTAACTGGAACTGCAGCACACCTGTTGGCTGCAGCATGATTGCAGTTATAATTTTGATAAAACCAAGCCAACATATTCGGGCGTTTCTTGAAAGTTTGACTGGTTGGAATTAAAAGCAAGTCGCTCGATTGAGCATGGTAGAGAGTGGGGTTGGAATACCACTGACAGGATGGTAATCGACTCAGAAGTGAAGAAATGTTAACACATTTCAGACGGATCCTTCCGTCCGAAATGTCCTTAACATGTCCTGCATGAGATGAAGAAAGACAGTGTTGGGATGAATTCTCATGTTGGTGTCATAACGATATCCGCCCTTTTCCCGTATCACCTCACTCTTACCACTAGGAATCTGAAGAACTTGTTAGCGAAAGAACAGCTCTACCACGAAGCCTACAGAAATAGACGTCGGGTGTGGATGCGGCAGTGGGCGGGGTATTGTCTTTAACATGAGCGAGTGAAGCCTTATCATGCACTTTTGAGCCGCGAAAGTGGTACATCCTTTGTGCTTGCGGAAAAGGACAACTAGTCCAGGAATCCTGCACACAGCGAGCGCGGAAAGTGCAGTAACTTTGAAAAAAAGATAACAGTTTTAAAAATACAAAAGGGGTAAAATTCAAATGGCAAGGAAGAAAAACTAACCGTGGATGTGGTTCGCTTAGATCGACGAATTTCGTTCGAAAATGAAAGGACAGGGAAGTGCTGAAAAATGCATGTATAATGAGGTGAAGGCGGGTAAAACCATTAAAGTCCCAGAAGAATGTGATTCTATAAAAACATCTAGAACAGGATCAGCATCTGATAGGTGCTAAAACATTCAACGAGAGTTCATAATAGTCAGGAGGGTCACATTCTGGGTTAAAGGAATCGCCATGGAGTTCTAGAAACGTTCTACAGAAAACCTCTCCTGAGCAAAGTCATTCTTCTTCGGGAGTGGCCCTAGATATTAGTCGCGTACACCACTGGAAACGCTACGATAGATCCTGGACCTGTCCTCCTCCGTTCCGGGATATCGTCAACCGTAGCCTCCCTCCTTTCTTTCATTCATTCTCTCTTCTTTCCCTTCCATCCTTTATTCTATCTTCAGCCTTTTCTTCCTTGAAATGCTTGGCAAGTAGATGCGATAAGAAGACAACTCTGTACCTTCGCAGAGAGTCCGATTGACAGAAGCCTTGTAACCATCTTTCTCCACCCATCGTGTTCGTGAACTTAACATCCTCTCTCACATTTTGGAAATCGACGATGTCCCACCTTTATCTAGCTTACAATTTAGGGGGCTTGCAGGAAAAGTTTTCATGCCATGATATTTCTATCCCTACTGCCAGTCGTCCATCTATGGTTCATGGTGCGGCACAAATCCAACACCGATCAATTGTGGACTTTTTGTCGCTCTATTGTTTGGTTGTTTTTCTGTTCTCAAAATAGAGTGACAATTGCGTTCGAAGAACCAACGAACATTAGAAAGTAGAGTGACGAAATCGAGAAGACCAGTGAGATTTTCGTTCTGAATGTAACCCGGGGTTCGGATCACTTCGTCGTACAGCGCCATTCGCATCGCTTTCAGCATGTCCGTCTCTGACACGTAGAACATCTCGCGACACCTGCAATAGGAGCTGTTTAGGGATGGGTAGAACTAAGGTTGCCATCTCACAAGTAAAGAAAATTCTTGCCGCTGTTTGGCTAATGGGGGCATTTTGCACTTTCGCTAGTTCTTTTGCTTGTCGCTGTTGAATTACACGTTTCACCTTGGTGGAACCTAAAGACTCTAGCGAAGTGTAGACGGGTCTCCTGCTGTTGCATAGCCTAACAGGACTTTACACGCCCCACAAAAGGCCTTGGCAATGATTGATGGGAGCCAGCAAAATACCCCCACCAAGCTAGTCTGCACCGAGATTTTCTTTTAGCTAGTCGTATAGCTCATAAAAAGCCCTTGTTGACGAACCAAACCTCAATCTTGTGTTCACCATAATTACCAGTCAAGAGCGATCATTAACTAGATGGAGATTCTGTCAGTTTTTTAGCAAACGTTTGCTGCTCGTTTAAATTCGTCTAGTACCAGTTCGGGAATGAAAATGAAATGAATGTAGAAAACCGCCAGTAACCGTGCTTTTTCAAAACGTCAAAGGAAAGCCTAATTCAACCGCATTAAGGAGGTAAGTTTATTCATCAGAGAGCGCGCCATATGTCGCGCTTTGAGTCTTCCAAGCCTCAGAATTCTAGGTCGTTCTTCATTCTGAATAGGTCGAAGAGTCTGACCTGTCTGGGAAGCGTACGCAGTCTATGATCGGAGGTGGAGTGGTCGTCAGAGGTGGCATTGTTGTGGTGGGCATAACGGTGAACCCTGGCGGTAGATGAGCATCTCTCATGATTATTCGGTCCAAATCAGTGTAAGTGGAATTAGAGAATCTGAAAAGAAGAAATGAGCTGCGCATCCTTTTCAAAACGGAGTCCGAAAAAATCACATTTCAATAAGACCATCACTTCCTGACCCCCATCACTTCAGGCTCATGGGATGGTACTCTATAATTTTGAGGATAGACTCACTTCATCATGTACAGTGCTTGCTGATGATCCCTCCTGAAGAGTGCAACAGTAGGGAACTCAACGATTCTTAGCATCCCAACAAGTAGCGAGTTTGAGAGCGCACGTCGTGCTCCCAGCATTCGTGATCGAGATGAGAGATCCAAAATGAACTGAAATAAATCTTCGTTAATGCATTTGCATTTCCATTTTGACTCGTTCATCTCATTCTGATCCAGTTTTCTTTCCACTCCAATTGGAACTGATCTTTCGTCCCGCATCAGGCTGACATTTGTTCGCAAATAGTGGCGCGCAGTCAAACTCATTCACAACAGACACCCACATCACCACATAATTTCGCTTCGATTCCGTTGACCTTTTGTGGAACGAGTTCCACAAATGCGTTAATGTCGCGAACGGTGTCTAGTATTTTCACTCATTCAAACGAGAAATTCGACGAACAATAGGAGGACATCCAGGCGGATGTCGAGTTGCTGCCGTTTTCGCGTCGGAGCTATGGTTATTCGGGTGAAGAAACTTCCTCTGACAGACCTAGTCTGAAAGTATCCCACCAGGCAGCACTAACGTAGAGTTAGAGCGCATCAGCCTCAGATGCGCATGGCACGATAACCCGGTACTTGGTCTGGAATGCTAGCAGGGTGCTATACAGTGGCAGAATGGCGAAAAAACGAAAAGACGGTCAAAAATCTGCGAGGAAAAGCCTTCGCTATTCATGGCTCAGTGAGCAATTTCGGACGAGTTTCCTGTGGGCATTACGCCAGTAACCGCTACGGTAGATACAGCTGCACGTATGTGCTCTAGCACCGCAGCCGCTTCATTACGATTCCCTTCGCTTCATATTTTACTTCCCAAATGGAGCGATACGAGCATCAGTTGTGGTCATCAGATGTGGTCGTCCTTTTGTGGGCGGGCGCAGTGGGCTTCCGTGTCGGTATGTTGCAGCTTGATAAGGCCTTATAAGGGTACAGGCGTTACGCAGCGTCTACTCAGGGGCGCGGAATCCTGTATTATCCCACTCTTCTTAGGGATTTATCGTGCCAACTGCCTTTAAGGTACCCACTTAGAGGAAATGGGAGGGGGAGGAGGAGTGAGTTTGAGTTTTTGCACTCGGCTTGCTGGCTCTCTGGGTTGCTGAGAGGGGTCTGTAATGTAATGGGAAAAGGAAAATGTGTTCTGGGAAGGATAGGGTTCCAACATTCACCTCCCCACGTACCTGATTGGCGAGTTTCCAGGGAAATCGCAGGAGAGAGAGTTAAGGAGTTGGGTGAAGGTGGGCTTCTGGGCTGAAGAGAGGCTGTCGCAGGTCGTACCTGAGATGGCGACGGAGGGATGGGGTTCTGTTTAGATTGACCAATTATTGCCATAATGTGTTTTTTTAGGAACTAAGACTGGCATTTACGAACCGACACACTCGAGAATTTCAAGAACTCGGAAATTTTAAGAAGAGTTTTTAAGTATTTTCGAAGAGATGGAAAATACTTGCGGATGCTGAGAGGGCACAGGAACACGCACAATTTAACATTGGAAATTGCTGAGACCTCATATGGTCCTCAAATCGTTCAGAGCCGAAAACAAAAGAATTGTGCTTACAGTGTAAAACATTTACCTGTACTCCGATGCCATCATATTCTTCGAAGATGATCGCCAAATAATCAACAGATTCTGGCACACCTTCCCAGAGCTGTCCGTATGTGGTAGTTCTGAAATTCAAGAACTACTGCTTGTTTTCGTACTACTCATCTAATTACTAATGTACTCAACCCGTCCACGTAAAGATGGGATAAATTCGGCCAGTCAGGATATCTGGCCACGGAATACTCGTTCGCTATCATCCTCATCAACGCCTCACGCATAGCCTCTCCTGAGTGCTGCGCCTCGATCATACGAGCCTGATTTGGTGCTCGAGCAGTACGAGGGAAGTACTGAAATTCAACGTAAAGTATTGTCAGTTTGCTAAATGTCGTCACTTTGCTGCCGATAGTTCGGCCTCGATGGCGGATATTGAGATCTGTTTGCATTTTCGTTTCCTCTGTTTGTACTACGCGTGTTCTTCTGAGAACACTCAACAGTTAGAAGATCATTCGTTGACCGGCAAGTTATGGATTGCAAGCACTTCGATACGCCGCACGAACCGCAAATAGCAGTAATGGTCTGGGGGTAAAAATCGCTGATCGTACTCTGAATTCACCATGGCATTACGTTGATACAACGGATGTTTTCATGGAGGCCGCTCCTCCTCCCTTTGTAAACATCAGCTGTTCGCAAAGGGATAACTTCGAAGTCCTAATATGTGAGTCATTTCCATTTTCTGATTTTCAGAATTTACAGAGGGAATTTCTTGGAAATTGTCTACTGCAAATGGATTTTCTCGGAGGATGACCTAGTTTGTTCTGGGCATGTCACATCTAACCCATAAAAAAAGTAACAGGATTTCTGTCGTTCAAAAAACTCTCAAAAGTGGCAACGTTAGGATAAGGGATACACTGTGGTAGATGGAGATCAAATTGCTCAGGTCGACTAATCAACAACTTCGGAACAGCTGATTGGCGCTAGATTCCTGTAAATTATAACACTGACCGTTGTACTTGTCCCGTTGAAGGTATAGCCTTGAGGCGCACACCCACAGGAATGCCACTTTGATTTATCACAGAATTTCCAAGTTGAAAAAAAAACAGGAGATCGTTCGAATAGTGTGCGGTCAGCCTCATTTGTCGAGTTGACTTCTTTTGCTTATTTTCTCGTTGCACTAGTAAATAGGCAAGTAGTAGTCGCTAGTTATTCAGGTTGGCGAGTATCTTAGATCGGGATCCTTTTTTCTGACGAGCTCTTTGGCCACATTTCAGACCATGGGATACTTTATCGTAGAGTATGTAGACCCTGGGGTCTTCTAGTAGTCGAACGTAATGCATGACGTCCGCCGTTTCTTGCAGTTGTAACCTTTCTCCATCAAGTTCTGCTTATAGCTCCATGCGGCTCTTCTCTTGAAAAGAACTGTGGCACTTGTGTGTGCACCATTCACCCCTTTGCTGTTGTTGTGGAGCCGTTGCGCTTGTCACAAATTTTTCATTCTCTGGAAGGGAGAAGGAGAAGGCTCTGTCAGTACCATTCCGCTGGTTCGACCCTCTGATGTCCATCATGAAAAAGCCTCCTGATTACCGAGATCGCGGCTATGTGGTCGGATAGGTGCAAGCCAGAGTTGTTATAACCCACAGGAGCGCTAGGTTATGCTCCAGGACGTTGGGCAAGTGATTCCCTTCGGGAAGTTGCAAGTGATTCCTTTGTAAAGAGCTAGAAGAATTCGTGGCACATGCCGGAGGATTTGATAAGCACCGAATACTTTGACACTTGACAGTCAGTTGTACTTGACAAGTAATGGAAAATGAGCGCCTTGGAAGTGACCGCTGATTCCTTCGAATCCCAAAGAGAACACCCGCCGCGAACTCCACGTGATCATCATCCATTCCATTCAGAACATCACCAATCTAAATTGTTTGTCTTGTCGTCTGACTGATTTTCAGCCATATTCGATGGTCGCTTGAATCCACGCTTCTATTTCATATTGTCATTATCGTTCTATGAGGTAGAGGGTTTAGTCACGGAGCTTACGCTACTCACAAATGCGTGACGATGTACACCTTGGAGCGACTGGTTGGCGTGTCACGGAGTGCCACAAATTTGTGGGCTAATCAACTGCCACATTAATCGCAGATTGATGGGCCCATTACAGCAGAAAAACGCTTGTTCGCGGTTCGTAAACTTCACTCAGCAATACCAATTGGCGGATGCGTTTCATTGCTACGACCCACTTCAGGTACTCCTCCACAGAAAAACCAAACACTGCATAGCTCGAGAATTTCTCGCGTGCACTGCTAGCGCAAGAATAATGTGTACTAATGTAAAGATGTCTGCAGGCTCCCGCATGTTCTCCCAGCTTCTATCACCTCAAACTATTTCATTCCGTTTAGCCAACCTCAATAGAATCGTCCAACCTTGTTTCTTGATTCTCTTCAAAACATCAGGACATTTATTAAAAGTTTTACTCGTACAGCGATCGGTGTAAAGCTAATTACCGTTGTTGTGGTCTATACCCTATGTGCATCGTGAGGAAACACATCGAAAATATCAAGAGCCCAGGCGGCTGCTTGAACTACATAACGGTGCAGGTCTTTTGTTTGCGAATATGCTTCAAGGGGGGAGCAAACTAAACGGAAGTGAAGATTACCTTGATCATAGGGTAGTAATTGGATTGCAATTTTCGCGCGGACATGTATTGTGGCATTGAAGCGGTGTCTGCCACAGTTGATCCACCAGCCACGTAAAAGCACGAATTCGCATTCGCGAACAAGATTTGCGAATTGTCGAAGAACGGCAACGAATTGTCTCGACTAGTGTCGCGCACCTAAAACAGGGTTGAGAACGTGGTCGCAGGAGATGCGTGCCTAGATAACATCGTTGTCGATAGCAAGGTATTAGTCGGGTTTTTATATATTGGCGTCCATGTTTGAGCCTGGCGCGTTGGTGGCATAGACCTGAAGTATATTGCAGAGTATTTACTTCCCTGTTCCCACCGGCGTGTAGCATTTCAGTCTCTTGTTGATTGCGCCATGGATTTCGCATACATTCGATCGAAGTTGGGAATCGTAGATACTATAGCCAGGGCAAATCCCTTCGTCAGGAATCAGTTACCGTTTGGACGTGCTCAATTGGCTGCTGACTCATTTATGAAGTGCCTAGATCACTAAATCCGTAGAAATCCTTAACAGAGCGCAGACGATCTGGGGTCCTCCATTTGCGGCAGCGCCAAGAATGAATCTCATATTGTAATCAGGATGTTGAATAACTCCTGTATACAAGTTTTCAGCTGGTTTGGTGATCTAGGCACTTCATAAATGAGCCAGCAGCCAAAACTCAGCGCGTCCAAACGGCATTAGCCGCGGAGGTGAAATGTGACCTGGCGAACCCCATTATCTTTGCAATCCACCGCTAATGTCAAAGATTGGTGTTTTTGGTAGCTAGAACGTAAACCAAAGTGAATTTTACAAATGACTGAAAGATCAGCAGCCTTTCTCTCCCCTACTGGTGGCTTAGCCTCTCTTTGAAACGATCGAGTCGAAACGTCAGGCCATGATCCAGCTAACAAACTCCACGGCACAGAAGAATACTAAAATTCGGGCCAACCAAAGGGGCATCCGGTGAAAAGTGGAAGAAGGATCATTAAACTCAAATGTTGAGGGACATTTGTTGGGACACTTTTACTGCGAAGGCTGGATGACACCTTTTTGTGAGGCTACCAGGGCTTTAAGAATCCGGAAATCATAACATGGAATGCTGGGACGGATTTCGAAAAAGCCGTCTCCGATATCCGCGTCAGGTAGGGTTCTTGTATCACGATTAGGAGAGCGCGCGCCCGCAAATGTAAGGTGGCAAAAGTACTAGAGACTAGTACTAGAGACTAGAGAAGTACTAGAGGATGGTTCACTTACCAATCTGCGTAGAATTCGACGAGAAAAGCATGATCCTGACCGAAGACAGTGTCAGCGAAGGTGTGTTGGTCGAGATGCATGATAGGTTCGAAACCAGGTGTGTAGAGGGTAGGATTGCTACCCATGGGAACATAGTTGAAGGAGGACACCGCAGCGGATGCCGCATGTACGAGCGCAAAGAGCGCCAGTAACATCTGAAACATAGAATTGATATCACTGTAGGACATTTGAGAAATCTCTAGAAGAGTGTCAGCGAAGTAGGTAAAGAACAGAAAAGGTCCAATATCGCAACATCATGTGAAGCAATTTGTTTCAAACTGTTGGCAGAGCTAACTGTGAATTCTTTCTGTGCTAGACCTTACCCAAACAGGAAACGATGGAGAGGTTAATCCCTAGATTCAGTCCAAACGAAG